TCACTGAAAACACGAGCAACACACACACAGACAGACATTTACACTGTAACACTGACTGTGTGTACCTGTTATTCAAAAGAGTTTGTTAGTACGGATTTGATTTGTTCCAAGTTTGACAGTGGATTGAAAACCATCAGAGAGAGTATTGAATAATTGCATTGAATTTGGACCCATTGGCTGAACAGTCTACTTGTTTGTCTTGTAACCAGAAGACTGCGGGTTCAAAACCCTGTAGGTGCGTACTTGTTATTTATCATCAATAGTTTCTCATTGTATAACAAAGTGAGTATTTTCTTCTTTACACGGAAATAGGCTTTAGAATAGTCGTCTATTCAACACTAGAGACTGTCTCTATACAGGAAGTTATCTGCAGTTTTAGTGAGAAGTAGTAACTAGTGGGGATCATCCATCTAGTATGGTGAAGGAACAGTCAGTCACTCTTATAAATGTATCACGAATTAGCAGAAGTTGTAATTCATGCACTGGTCATTGGATCAAACGCCCAGTAGCTGAATGGTCTACTAGCTTGCCTTGTAACCGGCCGGTCACAGATTTGGAAAGGGTCCTTTGAGACAATCATCTGCTTAGATCTGTCTGTTTGTCTGTCTGTTTCCGACATGGAACTTTCCACCGATGTGCACCAGTTCAAGTCGCCACACTCCCTCCATGTACCACACAAACCAAGAGAAGAAATGCATAATAGAGACAGTAAACAGAGGCGTGAGACAAAGGAATAGTGATAACGAAGAACAATATAGTTTTACTGGAAATCACAAGTCACAAGGAGTGGACGCATCTACGCTAGCCACTGAGAACGATCACTTTGAGCCATGTCACTAATTGCTTCCAGTCTTCATTGGTTTTTACCGTCCCGAGGACCCCACCACTTTCCTACGTGGCTGACTAGCTTAAACTAACTGTTGTGGATTTCATTGACTGGTTCCATGTTTCGGTTTGACCACCGATAGCCCTTTTCCAGCCTGATCAATCCTATGTCAGCTAACACTGCCCGTTGTCGAGGAAGGCGATGACTAGGCATCCTTACGTAACACATGTCCTAACCATCTCAGTCTATGTAATTTCACAGCCAACTCGTCAATTGATTTCGCCTCCTTACCTAGCACTCAACATATGGCTAACCTCAATATTGCTCACCTTATTATACCACTTAACACGGGAGATAGGTCGCAAGCACCTATGATCGAAGATAGCTAATCTTTTCATGTCTTTCACTCTCAATGGCCAGGTCACACAGCTAGCCATAAAAGGGGACGGAGCGGACTGATGAGCGGTACACCCGCCCTTTGGTCCCAAACTAGGCCAACAAGACAAGCTGACTGTCCAGTACACTCTACAGGTTTTCCAACTGTTTTCTCTAACTGATTTGAAATCGTGATCACATCTGTGACCACCAATCAAGTCCTTACAAACCAACGCGTAGAACAATTTCTCAAAGCCATAGGCATGTATCAATTCAGGTATTACACCAAGATACCATCCAGCACAATGTTATCATTGTAACAATTATATGCAAAACAGATAAAATTTAGGGCTTAAAATGCAAATTACATGTAACACACATACATACACACATGCGCACACACACATTGACCTATAGATACCATTCGAACTGATAAAAAACACAACGTAAAAACCTGTTATGCATAGAGTAGTGTAATGTACACACAACTACCAGAGTGGATGATAAATGGTCATGTCATATACAAAACAAAACAAAAAAGGTATAACAACACAATGTGATATTGATTAAAGAAAATAAACGACGACACTATCGATAAAACAAAACAAAACAAGCCAATAACAACCAATCTGAGACACAGAATGTGACAGCGCATCTATGCATAGAAAATCACACTAGGTTATTTATTATATGTTCACAAAAATTCAACCATCCGATAGATAGTACTAATGATTGTAAGTGAAAGGAAAACGATACGGAAAATTCAAGAAGTCAGCAGATAGATGTCAGCTGAAAACAAAACTTGCCTAAACAGAATTCAATGACTGGGCACTGACTGGTGCTATACTATTATTACTACTATTACTGGATTTCATCATGGACCGATATAGATTGGAGAACCATTGGAAACCAAAGCAGGTAGTGCTGGACAGCTGCTTTGTCCTACTTTGGAACTCTTCATTAGCGCGCACCCACACTGCAAGGTTCGGACCCAGGACCTTCTCGTCACAAGAAGAGCTCGCAGACCAATAGAGCAAGCCACTGGGACCCGATCCAGTGGCCAGTCTATGATATCCAATTCACGATATAGCGCAACTGGCACCCCGACGAGTCTTTGTCCTCACACCCGATCTGTCGCACTCTACTAGACACAATTCCCCACTAGAACCCCAGGTAACTACTTACCCTACATGTGAATAGGGTTAGTCACTAGTGAGCATCTCAGTCGAATCCCTACAAACCAATACTTAAATATTATTATTGTCGGTGGTTCAATAGCAGGAGAATAGTCAAATTCCTGGTTCGACTCTCAATCGATGTACTACCACTACTAAACCTTCCTTAGCCGGGTAAAGAGGAAAACCTGGAGCGCTGGGCTTGCAACTTTAACACCCCCTCCCGGTAAAGTAAAATACCCTTGGCTAGTGAAACTTCAAAGACCCAGCTGGAAGCTGTATGTTCCATTCATAACGCAAAACAAAATGAAGAAATGAATATAGTTGCATAGTAAACTCTATGTAGACCATTTTATTATATTTTTCCCAATTTTCGTCAGTCATCTTCAAAGAGCTTCGTTCTCTCGTTTCCCACCAGTTGTTTCCGAATGTGGTTATTCATTATTTAGCCAATTTATTGTCAACATTTTCGATTACATATATTATTAGTGTTATTATTTAAACGCAGAAAACTTGGTACAATATGGCACCAATAATAAAAAAACAATATAGATCAAAAGTAAAAAACATGAGTAGAGAACGGATAAAGAACTTTATCTGGAAGGAAAACAGTCATACTTTTAAACAAGTTCAAACAGTATCCCTCAACTATCATCAGGAAGAGAAGAAAGAAGGAAATTACAGCACGCTTTTTCCATCCAGTCCAGGGCTAGCGAACTGAGACCTGTACAGAAGCCTCTGGAATGACATTCCTAGCACATATCCAAGCCACCGGAGCCAGTGTTTCCAGATGACAACACTCAAAAAATGGTGATACCCACTGTGTTCAAACACACGCCGCAATGATGCCACCGAACATCAGCAATCCTGAGATAGCGATAGTCGAATACGCAAAGTCGATGCACATCCTAAGCTTGGAGAGGCCAAGTTTTTATTTTTTATTTTTTTAATATTTGATTACAGATTGATTCCACACCGTATTTTTGGTACAAGTATGGAATTTTCAGCATGGATATCGGTAGCCCAAATTTTGCAGGCCGACCATAGATATCAGGTGTGCGTCGGCGGGGGTTCGAACCTCGGACATATACATACGGTCATATACATAGGTCAAACTAGTAGAACAGGAGCAATCAGACCAGCAGAACATAAAAACCTAGTAAAATCTAGACTGAACAAGATAAAAAATCTAAAGAACAGTCCAGCTATAGCATTACATGCAGTTACACACAATCATACAATATGGATGGGTGGGATAAGACGACAGTTTTGAAATCTAATGTCACAGGGTGAATGGAGGGAGAGATTGATAGCAGAAGTTTTGTTTATCGAATCAACTGAAAATTTGTGCAATAGGAATCATTCAACACCTATCCACCGAGACATCTGGAAAATTCTACTACTACCCCAATGACGACAAATAGAAGAGAACAATGAAAACTATAAAACTCAAGTTTTGAAGTCATGTGATTAGAATTGTTGTAGTGATTATGAACAGTAAATTTTGTTTAAAACGTCACCCAGTAAATAATAATACTGCTTCACTGTATGGTACATCTAATAAACAAATTAATATGGAATTATAGCGCCCCAGTTTTATACTTATATCAATAACCTTGAAGAATTCAACAACCCATCACAGCACACTTAGCGTAAGCGGATGCGATTCGCAGATATATATCACCGGACTGTTTACGAAACGGCCACAAAAAGAGATGACAGAATAACCTTTGGCGAGAAAACAACCAATCAGAAGACGTTGTTTCTTTACTAATAATAAAGCGAATATTAATGTACATAAAAATCTATTTTATGAATAAACGATCTGTTGCCTGGTCTTTGTCTTCTGTTGTTGCACTACCACTATATCTGTGAGTTCTACACCAGAGCGAAACAGTGATTCGCATACTTCTCCTTTTAACATTTCGTAATATATATATATATACATATATAACTGAAAATACACAAATCATGATAAAACTTCATCGAAAAAATCACAGTGGCAAGTGCTACTTAACTTACCTCTCCATGTTTTAATTACATAATAATATGCGCAAAAATCTTCACACCTTATCACTCATGTACGTTGATGTATTTTTTTTACTCATTGACAATAACCTGTAACCACTGTTCTCAGTTTAACCCCTTATAGATAGCTGTACAGCTTTGAATTAGAGTCATGAAATATCTGTTTGCTGACTTGTGTTCTTCAAAAGGTTGTTATTTGTTATAAACCTTTACTCGATTTGCTTTACAATAAATAAACTCAGTGTGAATCATTTGATGAAAGGAGTAAGATAAGGTTGGCTACCCAATATCACTTGATGATATTCCTAATTACGATGGGGAATGGATTATTCCAGAGATAGCGCGTGTAGGAAGTGTACGAGATGACAGGATAACTTCTATAAGATATCGATTCCACTGTTCACTTATGTCAGGTAGATGCACAGTCAACAAAGACTTCAAAGGCTAACATTGCCAATCAAGGAAGGCAATAGCACAATATGTGAGACATACTTCAACGTCGATGTCACTGGAAGGGCAAAAGTAATCATATAATCAACTAACTAACTGACTAACAACACCAAAAATAACAACGAAATCGACGCAATTCGACTCACCGGTAGTGGACCCAAATCTTTCATTAAATGCCGTTGAGCTTCATGTGTCAACAGGGAACCATTAATCAGTTGATTATTTGATCGAGTAATTCGAGGATCATCCTTGTATATAACAAACAGAAAAAAAAGAATGGCAATAGGAGAATGAAAGTCGTAGTATATAGAGTGAAACAGCATTCTAGACCTACTAAAGAAACTTAAAAAAGTTCCTCATTTGTGTCCCATAGAAAAAATTCCAGTTTACTCCTTTCTACAATGCCTTGATCAACCGAATACGCTACCCATTAGATTATTGGGAAAACATTTAGGCCGTACAGGGGTGAGAAAGTTCCAAAACTGTTTCCTACCAGAGGTCAATATATAACAAAGTTACGCAATACGAAAAGGAGGTTAAGCCACAAGAAGAAAAGCAAACAAGAAGTTCAGATGGTAATGATCTTCATAAGAACGTAGACTGTTTATGATGGTTATGATGAAGCCAAAGACGAAATGAAACTTCAGGAAGCTAGATGGTGCTATACTCAGATGGCTTAATTAATCTGAAAGGTTTGACAGGATCTCAAATGTAGCGGAATGTCCTGACCACACAAGATATTCTATTATCTAACTATAGACACATTTTTCTATCCTTTCGTTGCTGGACAGGCTGGATAGTGTTCCTAAATGCATTTTACAAGCTGACACATGATACGACTAGTGCACGTAGATGAACTGGACTGATATAAGCACTGTTGATTTGACCCAAGGAGGCAGCTTGTCTCGACGTGCAGGCCGGACACTTTCTTAGGAGAGTTGGAGGCGATAGATGCTTCACTGAGTGATTTTGAAAGCGTTATAGGAAAATTTCTGTCAAACCTGCATCTCTGCAGTTGCATTTATTATTCCGACTGCCTGATTACTTTATTTTAATCCCCAATTTTGTTACGTAACTCTTTCTCGTTATTAGTTGAATTTTGACCTCTGACCGGAGAGGAGTTCTGGAACTTTATCACGAAAGTGCACGATCGAAAAGAAAGATCATTCTTTGTTGCAATACCTTGATCATTCTATTGTTTCCTTAATACCTGTATTGTGTTTCAGTACAGTTTTAAACGTTTGCCAATGAGCTTACTAACGAAAAGGAAGCCAAAAACACCATGATAGATATAGCAGATAATTTTACAACTGACAAATATCAGATAACATAATGTGTGATCACAGATTCATATAAGCTACAGGACCATTGAAAACCAGGGAGTGCTGGATAACTGTCTGTTTCGTTCTAGTTTGAGATTCCTCAGCAGAATGTACTCAGAACCTGCAAGTTACAAGACGAGCTTGTTGACCATCCCCAGCCACTGGAACACAACCCCATGGCTCATTACTTCTAGTTTCTGTCAGTGAACGACACATAGCGCCAATGACATCGATGGCGAGCATTTTCCCCTACACCCGACCCGATGGTCCCCACTCTTCGCAACTTCAATAATACTAATAATAATTGGCTTTATTCCAAAACAGTATTTATGATACAATGTTGAATTCTCAGCATGTGGAACAATATTATCGCATCGAATTTACTCAACTACACAGCAAAACAAAAATAGATATCGTCAAAGCATTTCCACAAGAAGCCGACATGTCAACCTGAAACCGAGCACTTCCGTCTAGTCAAATCGACGGGAAAATCTAAAATTCAATTAAACAATTAATATGGCCCGTTGCATGAGAGGTGGCTCTCGTGGCCCAAGTGGTCTAGTAGATAACGCTTTGGTGTTTGAAACTATGGGCGCTGGGTTCAAGCCTCGGTGGTGGGAACATCATTACTCACTGAGGAACGCAGGCACATCCAGCTGACGAGTGCCAAATAGGACGAAATGTGCTTTATCCTGGATTTCACTCCTAGTCACCGTCCACCAATTACATTCTAATAATATCACAGGATTGATATTGGCAGATGTTTTGGTAATCGCTTGTGGAGCGAGTTATATCGGTCGTGGGTCTAGGAACTTGATTTTTCGTGCTCGTTCGGGAACATCTCCCGGGATTGCGAAGTAAAGGTGTAGTAAAATCTCTATTAACAGTTCGATATCAGACCACCTGGTCCAAACCAATATTTAAGAATCCCTTTCAATCATCTAACGAGTACCGAATAAATTGCCAAAACATCCAGGTACTGCATGCTCCAAACAGCGGAGGCTATTGCAATTCGCCTCAAACAACCAGTGCTCTGTGTTCAAAAGAAGGAAGTCCAGCTAGAACCTGCTACTGCCCTGGCCAGCCTTCAGTAGAGACTATAAATTCATGAATTTGTAATATTATCTTTGGTAATTTTTCTGACATTCAGTTTATTGTTATGTTGATGCTATTGAATTATAATGCATTCATATTATTATTGATTCGATGTTATTTAAACAGCAACATTAATTTTGTTCATAACATTCACCCATTCATTCACTATAATGTATTTATATATAAATGTAAAACCTGGAAATGAGGAAGTTATCGAAAAGGCATATTCTTTGTTCAGTAACCAGTCTTTTGAAAATCATGATAATAACGTTGATAGCTGAAATTATAAGTGTTAATTGAAGTAGTGTCACCATAGATAGCGAACGAATAAGAGAGAATATATGAGCCGACTATTTTGCTAGTTACATAGTAAGTTGTAAGTTTCTCACTTAACACTATCTTGACCACATTGGAGGCAAACATAACATGGTATCGGTTGAATTTTTGCACTGGTGGTTGTATTAGCGCTTAATCTTTTATAATGACTTCTAATTCTACCTAACAAGATGTAAGGGGAAGGGGAGAGTTGAGAGTTGGACAACATACGGATTTGGAGCATTTCTCACATGAGTTCATGTGTCTGTCGACTACAACAGTAACGACCTGGTTGACTAAGTGGGACACCACTTGCCCTACACTAAAAACCTTTAATCCTCTTCGCCTCAATACAATATAATCATTTATGAGCAGCTCAGAAAAGACTAAGGAGGAGCAATAAAGAATACTAGGTAAGACACAAGAGTTAACAAACAGTAAAAGTGGAGATTGAGGGATTACAGATTGTTTAAATATACTTCTTAATGTAGTAGTAGGTTAGATAAAACATTTTTGTATAAATCGACAACAGGATATTGGATAATCAAGAATATTCAGAGGACAAAACTATCTCCAGGGGATATACGCTTGACTAAGTTGTCATTTCAGTGTCCTCTACGCTACAAACATCATATAAACGAGGAACCAGTTCTTGCAGCTAAACGTGAAGTTATAATCGTCTAACATTTAAGCTTTTCAATAGCATTCTAGGAAAGTTACTCATGTAGCCATAGTTACTAGTGACTATTACACTAACTTACTAGTGTCGGTTTTTAGGGTCTTAGTTCGTTTCGACTCCTCACCATTAAGAGATTCAAAATGTACAAGAATCGATATCTGAAGTAATTTATAATAATAATAATAATAATAATAATAATAATTTGCTTTATTCCAAAACAGTACTTGTGATGCAGAATGAAATTCTCAGCATTTCACTACAGCATTGCATCCAGTTTGTACATTAACAATAAATAAAATTCTACATAGATTAAGGGTAACCTCAGTTAGTTTTTGACAACAACATATTAGCACATCGGTAGCAAAGCCAAAATTAAACAGTTTGAAGGTGCTAGAAAAGTAGATGCTAGCATATTTACTGGCGTAAGCAGAAGAAAAAAACGAAGCTGCACATAACGGAAAAAAGAGAGAGAAAAGGAAAAGAAAGAAAGAAAACGTTGTACCTATAAATGATATGAGTTAGAAAGATGAGATCCAGTTGTTATACTGACTATTTAATAAGTTAAAGGCTTCACGCCTAATGCTTTCTTTATCTCACAGAACACGAGCTAAGCAGGGTATGTTTGAGTTTTTGTACTTGCTAGTGCGAGCATATATAGTTTTCTATATAGGCTTCTGGTTCTGCCTGATGAGATAGATACAAGGGGAGAGTTGTGAATGAAGAGGGTGGTGTGAGTTAGATAGATAGAATGGATTTAGCCCATTTTTCACATGAGTCCATGTGCCTGTCGACCAGAATATTAACAACCTGGTTAAGTGGTACATTGCTTACCCTGCTGATAACCTTTAACACCTTACGTAATAAGACAGTCCTTCTTCAGTAGCCCAGGGAAAACTAAGGGGGACAATATGGAAAAATAGGCAGAATACGGGAGTTAACGAATCGTAAGAGTAAGGGTTGGGTTGGGTTATTCCAGAATGTCTTAACTTCTTGATGTAGAAGGTAAGACGGAATATTTCCTTAGAAATCATCAAGATATGAGACGACCAATAGTGAAAGATCAGCAGATAGAATGACGCCTAGGTATTTAATTTCCAACCTGGTCGCTATTTCAATGCCATCTATGTTGCACACTTCATGAGGGCTAACCAGAGAAAACAGAAATAGTGCATAGAAAAAAAACAACAAGAGAACACATTCATAACAAGAGACTTACCCAAGTAGTAGTATGTTCATTATGATTGATGAAAAATTTACGACCACTAGCTGTTCTTGCCAACTCCCAACCTTGTGGCAAAGGTTCTTCGCCTGGTGCAATATTCAATCCTAAAACAATTTCACCAATCCTCCTATTTCCACTATCTGTACTGTCTCCTTCTTGTTGATTTGATTCGCCACCACCACCCCCAGCACCACCAGCTGTTGATGGGGTAGTCTGCCCTGTTGAACTAGACGATGAGTCTATTGTTGTCTGTTGATTATCACTTTCAGCAGAATTTGAAGATATTGGTAGAATCGGTTCAGAATTTGGGGCTAATTGAAAAACGAAAAAAGGGAATAAATGGAATACACAGAGTGAGATACGATTTTAATTCAATGTTAAAACACAGGGGTGTTGTCGGTCAGTGTTATGACAAAATAGAAATAAGTTCATGTTCATACACACATACAAAAAAAGAAACAACTGTACAGCAAATTGTACACATTTGTCATTAAAAACGTTACATGATAACTCCTGGAGTCGGATCACTCCCTTTGCTTACTCACCATTATCTTCAAGCCTAAGAAGATCGATCCACAGAAAAGCTACCTGGAATGGTCAACTAACAAGCTTCTATAGTTAGGTACCGATTCAACAAAAGCGGAATTTAATAAAATCATTTGCCACCCACATCCGACGCATCTGTAGTCCCAACGTTCTGGAAACAGAAGTAGATATTGTGAGAGAAATCTTCATCCAAAATGGATACGCAGTAAGATTCATTGACAAAAATATCAAACCAAGAATTCGGAGAAACGAAACTTTAAATGCGCCTAAAAAGAAACTCTACATAGACTTAGATTTCAAAGGAGATTTGACAAGCGATATTCTCAAGACAAGGATCACATCATCTCTGAGAAGAACATTCTTTGCAGTAACACTAAGAATAGTGTTCTCCAGTGGTCGCCCACTGATCTGCAGAAGCCAGCCTCAAGGACAAGATCCCACATCTGACCACTTCTATGTGTATATATCAGTTCACCTGTTGCTGTGGAGCCGGCCAGGCACATCGGTCGTTCGAAGCACACCCTGTCCAAGAGGATTCAAGAACACTATCCAGTCAGCATGGTTGAGAAAAGGCAATAGTGGTGGCGCTGTAAGGAGTGCGATAATTGAACACTTGGTTAACACTGATCATTCCATCTCAACAAACACCTCCTGATTCAAAGTAATCTACGGAGTCAAGAATAACCTACCACCAAAGGCAATATGCTTTCATCTTCTTTGTATCACTAAAGCTCTGGCCATTCACATAGATTAACCAGAGCTGTGCATACAAAAGAGAACTACTCAACCGCTTCTACTGTCATGGTAACAACTTTGTTGATTTGGATGACTTAATTTTGTTTGTGTGCCTGTTCTTTAATTGCCTAGAATTCTTGTATTCATTTAGAACTCCTACGTAATTTCGTATTCTCTACTTTGTTCCTATGTGCATCCTGAGTAAAACTCAATCATCAAACTATTCATATTATTACATAACTCCTTTTTTAACAACTGTTTATGACAACTCATCATCTTTGTTACTACGCCAATTTCATTGACATCTAATTTTCTTGACTGATTTTGTATTACGTAACTCCAACAACCAATCTTCAACCGTAACCAATTGTATTTTTGTTTGACAAACTTAATGTACACATACATACGAAATATCACACATATATTTGCGATTGTACAGCGAAGAAAATGAATTCGCCGAAAAGAGACACTTCGCTGAACTACGTATTTTGTTTTCATTCATGCCTGGATGAGGATTATCCATGAATATTCAAGTATTGCTGTGTAGGTATTTGACTGATTGATTACAGGATTTCATCATGAGCTGATATCAGTTAAAGAACCATTGGAAAACCTGCAGGAAGTAGTGGAAGGGTGTTTTATCCTAATTCTATGGGATTCTTCAGCGGTATGCACCCACCGGGGTTCAAACGCAGGATCCACTGGTTACAAGGCGAGCTAGTAGATCATCAAGTCACTGGGACCGAATCTAATGACAAGTCTATGAATTCCAGTTTTTCCCAATTAACGACATAGGACGACCACTAGCCAATGTCTTCGGCGAGGTTTTGTCTTCACACTCGACCTGCTGTACCCCACCCCACTGGTTAGGATTTCCGGTAGTCAGCTCATGATGAAATCCTCTAATCAATCTTATATATTAACAGTCTCATAATACCTCGCATACACCACATGTGATTTATAGTTTACTATCAATCAAATAATGTTTTCGACTATTATTGGTGCAATCTAGTTGCTAAAACTTTGGGACAGAGACAGTAGAATTAGAATCCTATAACAGACTTCTCTCATGCATTAGGCTAGGAGAAAACGTGTAATTGTGCGAAACATTTCACACATTCTCATCATACACACGTACTTGTCATATACACATTTATTATCAAGCTGTACAATCGTATATATATATATATATATATATATATATATATATATATATATATATATATATATATATATATATATATATTATATAACCTAATTCATTCGCTCTGCTTTAGGATAAGGAAAATTTGTAGTTCTGATTGCGTTGACTCAGAACTTGACTTCTTAAGAGCCACGCTCGCAGAAAACCGATTTATTGACAGCAACATGAAAGATAAGCAGTGTAAACTGATCACCGACTCAGTTCCAAAGAAAACCTTATCCATCAACTTGGATTTCAAAGGTGATCAAGCTTCAGATATGCTCAAAAATCGTCTCTCTAAATCAGTCAGTGAGACGATCTTTGCAGCAAAGTTACACATGACGTTCACTAGTCGCAAGTTGTTCTCTATCTCTGTAAAAGATAAACTCCCCCATCTGGCCGCCTCCATGTGCATCTATCAGTTCACCTGCCCTTGTGGAGGAGATAGGTACATTGACCGTAGCCAGAGAACGCTCTTCACACGGATACGATAACATATTCCAGCTTAGTTTTACAAGGGAGAAAGCAAGTATGTGCGAAGCTCTATTCTGGGACACCTGGTCACTCGGTCTGTCACTCGGTCAACTCTGACCTTGATTTCAAGGTCATATATATAGAATGCACGCTAACTTCCTGCGTTTTCTTCGTTACAGATTTCTAAAGATAGTTGAGGCCTTGGCAATTCATGACTTTAAGCCAGCCAGACCCTTGTGTACAAAAGTAGTATGTACAATGCCTACATCTGCCTTAACCGTAGAGGGATAGACACTTGTTTATTTTGTTTATTTAGTTATTCTATTTACTTTTCCCTTATTACTACGATTATTATTATTGTCATTATTATTACTATTCTCACTCTGAATCGTTTCCACTTGTCCTACTTGTCACCACTGAGTGTATATGGGTGTATTTAAAGCTGAGATAATAAGTATTAGACTTTCAAATAGTATAGAGAGAGAGAGAGAGGAAAGTGGGGTAGTGAAAACAGTTGTGAAAAAAAACTCGGCAAGAAAGAGTACAGGGAAAGAGAGAAGATGAGAATGTTTCAAAATTGAAAAAATAAAAATGACAAAGACGACGCATAACTACTCAGTAGTTATGATCAGCTTTCAGTTAAAATATCAATAAATGAAAAAGATTTCAAAATTACATATTATCAGACAACCTACACAACTCAGACTAAAACACTTGCAAATGCACTGATATTATAGATCTTAGTTTAGTTACACGTAGCTTTCACTTAACTTAATCTTGTTTCAGCTACATATTTATGTTTTTTCTTCCCTTCACGTTCCCCAGTGGAACATAGGGCTTCAAGCTAGGGGCTTGAAGTTTCTGTAGCAGTGTTTATTTTTACAGGATGGGGTTGCTAGCCTCAGGCCCAACAACTTTCCTCTTTACCAGGATTAGTTATGGCTTAGCGAGGTAAAGGAGTCTGTCGGCCTCGGATCGAACCCCGGAGCATGTGCATGGTCGGCGAGCGTCCTAACCGATATACCACCGACGCAAACATATATATGTACTAGTTGATTGTTTTGTAAAGAATTGCTTAACCTTTGTTATGTGAAGCTCTAAGCGTTGGTTTCCTAGGATCTAATTGATTTTCAATCTGACCACCAATTGACATCAGTTAGAGAGCCGGTGAAAATCAGAGAGTACTGGACAGCTCTGTTTCTACCTTGCCTTGGAGTCTTGATCAGTACGCACTCATAACCTCAGAATCCCAGAAGTTACAAGGCGCGGGTTTATCAACCATTCAGCCAATATATTACACGACTGAAAGTCTCAACAGTATACCTTCCGAGTGGAACGTAAGGCTTCAAGCATATTAAGCTCTGAAATTTCCATAGCAGTGGGATTGCCAGCATCATTCTCAACCCTCCCTCTTTATCGACCTTGCTAACGGTTTAGAAAGGTTTAAGAGTGCATTGGCAGTCGAAAGGGGGTGATCGAACCCCGAACCACCACCACCACCACTTGGCGCACGTAAAAGACAAAGGAAGACAAAAGTATGTTCAAGCCTACTTAATCATCGGTGAGTAACCGACCAGAACTGAACATTTTAGCCTTCTCATGCCTTTGATTTAGTAGGAGAAACACGCTGAGAAGCAGAAATGACCATTCTTTTTTTAAAAATGTTAGAAATTTGATCAGAAACAGTGTGTGATAATACAGTAAAGCATTTCGTGTTTCAATCAATCAAAAGACTTAAAAATGACCTATAATTACAAAATAAAAAGAACTATATATATATATATATATATATATATATATATATATATATATATATATATATATATATATATATTTTAAGGATAACAAAGATCACATCCTTTTTAGTTAAACAACACCAACAAAAAGTGAACAAAAGCATAAAAAAGACTTGAAAAGAAATAGAGAGAGATCAAAGTAGACGTGAATATGTTTTACTTTTCTGTTACACAAAGAAAAATTTAATCCGCTAGCACAATCAATTTCGACAGAATCTATACCTCGATATCATCCGTTAATTAAAGAGATGCACAGTTCAACTATTATTTGTTTGAGTATGAATGTTAAACTGGTTAAACTACAAAGGATGGAGAGAAGCATACACAGTTCAAGATGCGAACTTTATAACTGTAAGACCTGGCCATTGAGAGTGGAAGACATGAAACGACTATCTAGCTGTCTTTGATCATAGGTGCCTCCGTTCTATCTCCAGTGTGTGTTAAGTGGTATAATAAGGTGAGCAATATTAAGGTTAGGCTTTGGTCGAGTGCTAGGTAAGGAGAGGGAATCAATCGACAAGGCTGTGAATCCACATCGACTGAGATGGCTAGGACATATGTTATGTAAGGATGCCTA